AGATGCAATTGTCATGGGTTCAAATGTACGTGGGTTCAAATGTAATGGAACCAATTTTTTATATTTCCGCGTGGCTTATATTTTACATTAATTCCGTACCATACTGCAATTTATTAAAGTAGCGTGTTGCATTATTGTGTTCGGCTTATGTGGACCTGTTTTTGTCTAGAAAATTATTTTTCTCATTCTGGCGCACATAATCCTGGTAATTGAAAGCGCAATAACTTATAATATTAATAATTTGGTTAGCGTGCGTCAGGTTGCTACATCTTGTAACTTGTTCTTTTCTTGTTTTAGTATAGTAGTAATCTTTAAGTTAATAAAAGCCTAGAAAACAGTCTAAATGAGTTTTCCTCGAATGTTTTCACTACACCAACCATGATTTACTTCGTAGTTATATTAAAAGAAAAATATGCCGAAGTTCGCGAAGTGTTCCTTCCCTTCATCTCCCATTGCTAAAATGTAGCTTCTAATTTTTACATATATTATAACATTGAACTTAACAGTGAATCGAATACCTCGAATCCACAAGATGCTTACGACCTGCTTCATTTCTTATTTTTAGCATGTCACGTTAGCTGTTACCCCTCCATTCAACTTAGAATCTGTATCTCTCACTTCTAAAGAAGTTCTACTAGTCTTGTCCTATACAAATTAAAAACAGTGTTCGGTGAGTTCAGTGGTATACCGCTGATACCGTTCGTATATCGGATACGTCCGCTGAGTTTCCTGGATATTTGTTGCAAAAACAAAGAAAATGTTGCAATTTACGTAACAATACGAAGTACGTAGTTGTTGAGTACGCAAATGATACATTGAATCATATTTTACACAATGATCGCTTCGCACAAGTATAAATAGTATATTCACGAACATACATGTAATATAACTAACAGTTGGGGTTTCGTGAAACCAACTACCTTTTCTTGCTTTATGCCTTTGCGCAGGTGGATCCGTATGCGTATAACGCAAGGATGTTATTGCAAGAGCGAAAATGACTATTCTATTCAATTCAAGAGTCTTGCTGCACACTTACACAAATTTATTTCTGTAGCGTTTCGTCTGATCAAGGTCAGACTTCTTCAGGAAGAAGTCTGAGCAAGACTCTTGAATTAAATAGAATATAAATGTAATAGCAATGAAAACTAAACTATATGGACAGATACGCAATATATGCGTACATCTATAATTACATTACAATAACGAATTTGTTGAGCAGCCGAAAGGCCGTATAGCTATCAAGTTGATCACTCAATTATCAATAAAGAATAACAAAGTATTTTTAATATATAAACAAAAATATCCGTAGCACGTTGATTTAAAAATTTTAGGCATCGAACGCTTGCATAATTTATATACATATTTAGACTCGTTGGAAATTTCAATCTTCCTCCGATTACAAAATTGTAGAGAGTACGACATAAGTCAAGGTTGCCATTTTAATGTGTTTGATTTAATTAAATGTAATTGTGTAATATGCAGATATATGTAGCTAAAAGTATTACCGAAAATACAACAATTACATTCCTGTTTCTTTATTGAGCTCTATCGCATTGATCAAATATTGGCCATTTTGGCCTTGTTTAAATGCTTTACTAAAATACGTTAGTTATTTCTGCTACTAACACTGCAGAATGCAAAAGAATCACGACGGTCTTATACTCCCACCTTGTCTAAAATCATGTACCAACGTACCTGTTCTAGTTTAGTTCGCTAAATTTTTCTACCATTTCATATCGCATGGATTAATTTGTGAAAGCATGTCGCAGTATAGAACTATTAAAAGTTTGATTGTCTTCTTGATAAATATCCCCACATGTAAACTGGATTGTGATTAGTAAATGTTACAAATTAAGGAAGAAGATCAAATCATTGTTTTTTTTATTTAATCACATATAATATATCAAGTACAAATAATATATTTTGATAAAAAAGGATTAAAATATGAAAGGCGTTAGCTAATTAACACTGAATTTTTTCTTCTTTGAGTGATGAAAGCAATTGCTAGAATAAAATTCTATTACCAAATATTTAGATTGCGTTGATGCAGGTAATTATTATATGGCAAGCTTCAGTCATGAAAATTTATGAATGCTCAGAATCGGCTGTAAAAGAAAATGAAAACTCTTTTTCTCGACAAAGTTAATTGAAATCAGTCGTGAGCCGAAATTGATGGAAAAATTCTGAACCTTCATAATTGTCCCCCACATAGTTTGATAAAACTTTCAATCCAGCCAGATATTCCTCTCCGTTCGGAATGATTTGATCAGCTGGTAGAATAAGTCCATTTTTCCCTGATCTCGCAGTTCAAATGTGTACGACTGACTGATACCAGCTGTATCATAAGTCCAGTCAGGCGTGGATCCGAAAGCAGGGTCTGACGATAAAATAAATGGAGATTAAAGAATAATCGAGTAACAAAATCATGGAAATTTGACAAGCCAAAAAGCACCGAAAATGATTAAAAAAAAAAGTGCAATTAGGTTTCGCAATAGAGTTACGTATAACGTGCTAAAATGTGATGATATGCTACTAAAACTTTTTAAAATTGGAATTATATTCGAAATACCTTGCGCATACTAGAAAACGTCTCCCCATCAATTCAAAATCTATCAAATTTTGCACACTCTAAATATTTCCACAGAATTTGTGTTAATTAAACTAATCAACCAATTCCAATTCATATTATTATGTAGAGGTAGTCAATAAAATTTCAATTATATTTCACATAGTTGCATGTTGATTTGACCACGTATACGCTAACCAAGTTCAGTCAACATTCACAGACTGAGTACATAGTAAAATGCATTATACCCTCGTCAATCAATATTTGTCTTCGTGAAGAGTCAGTCAGTGATCAGTGACAACACGATGTTACGCGTTCGGTCTGCAGATCACAATCGATTATTAAAACTTTATTTGACGCAATGACTCGACATCTGTTATTACTATTATTTTAATTTTCAATACAATATGAAATAGTTAAAACAAGCTATTTTCCATGTGTGCTTATCGCTTGTTCCAAGTTTCTTGTAATGCTGGATCCGTATGTAGACTGATGCTTGAAGACAAAAGTTTATAAAACTACGAAAGAGCAGAATTTTGTTCGAAATAATAGAAGCATTATCAAGCGCATTATCAAACTAGCAAAATCTGTATAATGTGTAATGGGATTATTTTCCAGAACGGACGTATAACATGTGTGGACATCTGTAATTTTCCATTTGTAGTTTCACTTCAGGGAAATCCCCAATGATAGTAGATAACGCCAATTTTCGAACTTACACTTACTTACTCCAATATTTGTTTGAATATAAAAGAAAAACTGTTGGACAGCATATGTAAACATAACATATCATTTTGCTAGCTGAAGAGTAAGTAGTTTTAAATTAGAATTGTGCCCAGATATTTATGTGCTTACCCGACATGTTATTTTATTTTTCTGTCGATTGTACGAGTTTCTTTCTTGAACACAAATATTTCAAAATAAAAGTCTTGTTCTTTATTTTTCTTACCGCATACTACTTAAAACTACTTCAGTAAGATGTAATAATAACTTAATTATTATTTGATGCCTATCTTACAAAATAGTTATTTGAAGATTTTTGCCATATAAAAACGGAAGACAAAAACTGAAGCTGATTCATCAAATATTTAAAATAAGTCCTAATATAGCACGTCAAGCGTGTTTAAATATTTCCACGATCACGTGACGGAATGGTCTTTATCAGGTTGTTTTTTTTTAAATAACATGGAGTGAGTATAAAAATAATTTAACATTGTTTGATAAGTTTGTTCAAATGAAGATAATATATGTATTTGTTGCTGCTTGTTACAACTATTATTTAGTAGTTGGAAATTACAATTTTCAATTTGACTTGGACAGCGATTCAATGAAATGGGATAATATTGAGCATTTTTTCTACTTTGGCTACTACGGCTACTTTCTTTGTTTCCTCGAAACAATAATCTGTCTATCTGTGTAATTTATTAAAATAGTTGATTTTAACGGCTCGCATGTAAAAAGTTCAAATTCAATCGTAAATGATGCGCCAAAAATGATTTTATTTATTATTTTTCCTAATATTAGAAACTCAGTTGAAAAAAATTAGAAATGTCTTCTGCTATTTCCTCTGACAATTAGCCACTGGTACAAAACACACTGAAATTATTTCCGAATTAACAGGCAGAATATTCGCTCTTATATTGCCCAATAGTTGATTTCTCATTTTTTCCCATGAAATTACACTTTGCTGAAATATTTTCCACCCAGCTTTCTTGCTTGAATTGTTATATTTTTCGTTCCTACCGCCATCGATAAACTTACGTAGATGTTAGATAGTCAATGATCGCACGCAGTCGCAACTTTTCTATCAAAAATGTTCTCACTTTTAAATAAGAACTCGAAATCTAGCTTTGAAAAAAAATTGTATATAAAATATTAATAAAATACATTACCTACTTTCTCAAGTATTCTCCATATAATAATATATTACTAGATGAAAAAATAGGGCAATGTTTCTTTGAGCAGATTTGTTTGAAATATTTCAACAAAGTAGACTTGACACGACGGGTCAAATAAACCGCTTATATATAGAAGTTCGGCGACTAATCAACAAATTTAAATTAAAAAAATTTGAAGAATTAATAAGCCTATTTTACATTCCGGAGCCTTAAATGTTGTCCCGCAAGTAATTTGACAACACTTCTAAGGCATCTGGATATTCTTCACCGATCGGAATTATTTGATCAGCAGGCAGGATATGCCCATAATGACATGTATATAGAAGTTCAAATGTATATGGCTGTACAATTTTTGCTTCATCATATGACCAGGGTGTGGTTGTTCCAGACGTGAGATCTGAAAATCGGTTCCCGTACATCACTCCTGGAAGCAGAGCTTCTCAGCAAATCTGCACACACATACCTCTCTAAATTCGAGAAAGTTAATGGATGTGATAAACATCTTGTTTAGAAGTCCCACTAAACTAAATGACAACTTATATAATTTTTTAAAGAGAATAAAACAATCTGTCTGCATGAGCATGATCTTGTGTAACCTCGTAGCTCGAAGATTATGATGCTTCATTACAAACGAGAGACAAGCTTGGGACTAATAATAATCTGTTATCCTATGTTTTCTCGTGTAATTGAAATTTACTCCTGACATTATTGTTATTTGTCTTCCCGCCTTTTTTTATTATAAGGTTCGATGATTTAAAAAATTGTTAAAAGATTGCATCATTGCCCAGAAGCCACAAAGATTCCTAGACCTCAGTAAATGAAGCAAGATCTAATGCGATAATAGAATAACAGTAATACCAAAAAGAATAAAATACTATCCGATATTGCTCGATTACCATAGTCTGCAATTAAGTACCATTAACTGATTTTGTTTAAGAATAAATTCTGCATCCGTAATTTCATGTGATTTGTCGACCATTGATTTATACAATAAAAAAATGTTAGTCCGATTTTATAGCCCACGTCTAGCTCTCGTAATCACAATAATCGTGTTCATGTCAAGAGATTCTTCTTCTGGTAGAGATGAAAATTTCCATTTATGCGGCATTATGTACGAGCTTTTGATGGCAAATGTTTATCCCGCCTCTCATGTTTAGAAATACTGAATCCGCAAGAGCAAAAATACTCGCAACCAGGCACGGCAAACGGGGAAATAGGGAAGTATTATCGTTATCATGAATGTATGCTGACGTTCTTGCTAGAAAACCAGAAGAAGCATACTTAGCGTTTTGTTGGTGTCAAGTTTCGTACTAGATCTTGCGATTTATATGGACGTATGACTGAAGTGACATGCGTGAATCTTTGTCACCAAAGTAATTTAATTTTCTTCTAATTTACTTCAAATGTTTTACGCCCACTAAAAGCAAATGAAATTATAAATTATCGTAACATGTATTTCAATATGATTTTGAATTATGTAAGATACAACGTGGTTTAACAAAATTCTTGCAAGAAATAGCATGGACATATTCTTCCTGCTGAGCAAATCATTCCCAACGGAGAAGAATATCTCGCTGGATTAGAAGTCTTGTCAAATTACGTGAGAGACAATTATGAAGGCTCTGGAATGTAAAATCGATTTATTAATCCTTGTATCATGAGATTATGTTGAAACTGACCGAAAGTTTTTTTCACATCGGGTAGCGTCATTTCAACCATTTTTCATTTGCATCAACTTACTTGTCGCGTTCTATAATTTAAGTTGTTAAGTTTACTAAAAACAAACTTCTACATTATACTTGTAGGTTTGAATATATATCATCCTATACAAAATAGAAGTTCACGTCATGTTCGAAATGAAAGCATACGTCATGTATTCCCCTGAAATATTAAAATACAATGCGAAATTGTGGGTGAAATAATGTGCTACATGGGACTCGACGAAAATTTTTGAAAAGTTTGAAATTGGTTGCTCATTAGCTGCATAGAAAAGAAAATTTTTCCTAACATTAAACCCAGCAACACGAACAACAACAATTTTGCGAAACGATTCAAATATACACTTCATTTCAAGGAGGCTATACTGTAGGCTATATGGGAAATCGTGCCACTAGCACGTTTTGTCGGAGATCGTATGTTAACGTGAATGCCTAAATATAATAAACCTGATTCGGAAATATTACTTTCTTTAATATGACATTTCATTGTTTTTTTATGGTTGTTTCTTTTTCACTTGATTTAAACAAAACACATAGGAAACGAGACCACAACATGAAAATAAGAAGAAATCTTTATTCCCACCAGTACGGTATCGTCAGCGCAAGGAACATCTGTATATCCATACGGATATAATATCAATTGCCCAATGGAGTGAGTAGTAACGTAGGCGTCAATTTTTTCTTGACCTATCACATACTTTACAAGGTGGCGAATTTCTGACTCGGACTCTGGAGTCGGTCCATAATAGTTGCCGTAACACGAATCTTTGGAAGCACCATCATCTGTGCATAAACAAGATACAACAAGTGCATAAACGAGAATATCGGTCAGAGACCGAAGAATTATCGATTGAAAGTTAGGGATCCCCCTAAACAGCGCCCTTACTCCATAGTGACACCTTGTGTCCCATCACTAATTAATTAATAACTGGCTTATTATACGACATAATTCGCCCAAAATCATTAGGCTTCTGCTCCGAGATATGATGAATGCACATGCAGGATTTGGAGTAGATTCAATCTCGCTTTCGTGAGATATCGCGTGCATCTAACAGACATACATGCAGACAGACAGACAAATACCTATCAACATACTTACCGATTAAAATCGATAAGTAACAAGAGTTGTACAATGAACAACAGGGCGCATAGAAAAATAAAAAATGGCTCCGCATCTACCTTAGTGTTATCTCGCGGACATAATACACAACCAAAATACATATGCTAGTTCTATTATAGAATTGTCACTTATGTGTTTTTGTAAAATGAAAGTTTTTCCAAATTCGAAGAAGTTTGATACTTCTTTATGCCATATAGAGCATATACTTGGAAAGTATGTTGAGTATGTAGGATGATGAATAATAATTTTGAAGAGCACTTACATGACCAATGAGAATCAAAGTTCCGATTCCCATCAACTCCTACACAATTATAGTTTGGTCCAGTACTTCGGCTCTTCCTCCATAATCTATCCTGTGTAATGCCGTAATTGTGGCGTAAATATATTGTAACTACGATTCGATACAACGAGATGGTAAAAGTGAGGCGACATATCTTGGGGAAATTATAGATAATGAAAAAATAGAGATCATTTCAGCACATACCCCAATCCATGTTTCCACATATCCGTCAACATTAATCATCGGAACAAAATACCAATTAACTTCGTCCATCATGTGAGCATATCTTGGGTTTTGAAGCATCTGAAAATTGGAAAGTGACCAAAAGCATCGTACATAAATATCGTCAATTTTATAACAAATAAACTAATTTTCAATAAAAACAAATTATTAGTCACCTCTTTAAATATATACAGCAAAGAAGCTGTTGTAATCCATTCTCTACAATGAATCAATGCATCAACAAATATAGTTGGTTTTGACTTTGCAGAAGTTTTTTCAAATTTTAAAACATACAATGGTCGTCCTTCAAAAGTTACTCCAAATTGCTCCTTCGTTGCAAAACCGTATTCCGACGCCACTAAATCCATCCATTGGTAGACCTGTAATCAAATTTTGAAAAAAAATTGAAAAAAAAAATTTTTACATGGTAAGTAGCACACGAGTAGCCAAATTACAATAATTTTAACAAATATATACTGATGAGTTTTCTATGCCAAAGACTACATATCAACTGAAAACTGCTATACAAATAATTATAGCTAACTAATGAAATAATATAATATTCCAGGTAAATTTGCCGAATTGTTCAAGGATAGGCTATACCTCCTCTGCTGGATGATATTGCGTATAATCAAACGTTCCAACACTGCTAGCTACAAATTTCCCAGTCTTTTTTCTATCATTGTAAGATTATTTTTCTTTGTCAATCAGAAATTGAATGTTTTAATAGGAATATCGTGGTCAAATGTTCCTCGTTGTTCGAGATCATCTTCAATTTCAAGAAAATTTTTCGGACTGACTCGAAAAGTTACAGGTCGGTCAGGTGAAGTTGGTTCCATCCAAAAGTCAAGCTGAAAAGGTATATCCCGAACTCAAGGTAAAACTGTGGAAATAACTTAGCAAAAAAGGGGCAACTATATTCCGATTTCTCACCTGAAATTTTTCTCCAAATTCTATGAGAGCTCCAACTTCTTCATAAGACTGGGGGATCACTCTCCATACCTGTTGTCTATAATGAAGACAAATATAATAAGGTCAGGTTCATTATCAAGAGCGTTTTATAAATGTGTATCGATCCTTCAAAAATATCACAGTTAGGTTACTTAACATAGCTAAAATGAATGATTTATTCCAGCATAGCTTTGACGTTAAGCCATAGTAAACAGTAGCCAGAGATCCAAATATTAATCAAGTGATACTATTATAAATTTGTTGCACAATCAGCAGATTTGAATTACGCCATGACTTGCTTTATTTAGTATATCCTTCTTTGAAATGTCTACTTGAGTCCTCCACAAAGGGGAGAAAATGTCTAATTTGAATGGATCAGATATTTATGGTTCGCATAGCGTTGTCAATTTTTCACACCAAGGACGCAAAGACAGGACCTTCAACTTGACAAATTAGCTACTTAATAACTGGGAAATGTCCCACATACCGTATTTGCTCGTTTAATAGCCAGGGCGCTTATTTTTTTAAACATACTCACTAACAGGGCCCTTATTCAAACCGACCCTTGTTCAAGCAGGGGCGCTTGTTATTTTTAAAGTAAAATTACACACAAAAATACCGGTAGATAAGATCGATCGTTACAATAATCAATACCGTATATTGTCATTTCCAGTTCTCAAGTATGATTTAAACGAGAATAATGAAAATTTTAACTTTTTCTACGCACACGCAAAAAAAAAATTTTTTACACCGGGCGGGTATTCAAGCACCGGCCCTTATTTATTTTTATGTCCTGTTCACACGGGCGACTATTCAAACGGGCCCTTAATTAAGACCGGGCGTTAAAACGAGCATTTACGGTAATCAATATTCAACATGAATATTGTTAGAGTCGATTTTTGCATATTCTGCACATATTCAAGAAATAAACATCTATGTTACTTGTTTTAGTGCCATGATAATCTAAAATTTGGCCAAATCCTAATAAAAATCCATGAATATCTTGAATAATGGCATAAATTTAAACATGTTTAACTTACCCACTGTAATCGACATTACTTCCATCCGCTTTTATCGAGAAGTAAATTCCTAACAAAGACAGAATAATATCTAATTGTCTTCTCATTGTTAGATAATTGTGAAACATATATATACGCTTTAAAATTACAGGACAGGAACGCTCGCGAACTCCTAGAACTTTTGAAAGTAATATATCGTATCGGCTTCGATTTAAAAATTTGTAACTATATATTAAAATGCTTGTACAGGAAAGTGAAACACTTAAGTTCTAGAATTCGTCTATAGCATTCCTAGATCGATTTCTTTTAAAAAATAAAGCTGTTAATAGTAAACCAGCCTCGCGTGATTTGACCATTCAGTGTTTATGTCGTTTTATTCATTTACATCCCGAGGTGTTTATACATGTATTAAATGCACGTATATGATACATTTCAATCTGTTTTACAGCAGTCTTAAATATTATTAAATTTACATAATATATCGTATAATCGCTACATTTTAAGACTGCATTTTACAATTGCCGACCGTTTGTAAAAGTGGAGTATTAAATGTTAATAACTGTTTGATTTTTTTTTACAACCAGCCAACTACAAACATGTTGTTCCTGTCACCCAGATCCCGACATGACAAAAACATTTTCATGTATATATATACTCGTATATACGCTCATAGTTTGCGCTGCTTGATATCTATTTGGATATAGATTATCATGTAAAAAATTTTTAAACAAATCCTGAACCAATGAGGCATTGAATAATACAAATCCAATCAAGAGATAGAAGTCATAGATCTTATGTAGAAAAGCCCCACCATCGTTAACGCAGTGAGCGCAAACTGGAGTATTTGAAACGTGACGGGGGTATTTTTCTCAAATCTCACATATTAGCATTAGTGGCGAAAGATACAAAAATTTTGAATTCAATTTTGAATTGTATATCTGAAACAAAATTCTATGACTGACTATTAATTTTTATCCTCGATTTGAGGGTCGGTTTCATTTATTCAGCCTTTTCGTATATAGAGCCCTCCGTTGAATTTTTCTCACGTTTGCAAAGACCGTCTGGCGTATTTCTGACTTTCATCTATTATTCTTTGCAGTACCGCGTGGTGAGACAAAAAGCCTCTAATACTCAAGCAGGTCCATTGGAGGTTATGAATTTAAGTTTTCAACATTATATCCAGTAACGTGACGTGAAAATTCAGATGAAGTCTTGCCTACAGAATAATATTCCAACGATTTTGAAATAAAAATCGCACACGGCTGAGATGGAATTGGTTTGCAAATTCTTTATTTTCCATTTTTCCAGAACGTTGTTATTGGTGTCTCAAAAATGTCGCGACCCACTTGTATCACTCGTCTCACGTGTCCCACTTGTATCGTGTGCCTCATTTTTATCACGTGCTCCACACTTGTATCACATTTCACACGTGCGCCACTTGCCTCACCTGTTCCACTTTTGTCCTACACTTGTATCGCTTCTCGCACGTTTCTCATTTGTATAACTTGTGTGTGGCAAGTTGTACAAATGTTGAACAAAAGTGAGACAATTTGAAAGGTTGGAAGCAAATGGGGTAATTGTGGCAACAGTGGAATTAAGAAAAGCAGGACAATTGAGAAACGTGATTTAACGAGCACACGCGGGACGCGTGGATCTTGTATGGGACAAGTGAGATAAGTGGGACAGGACATAGTTGACACACCGAGTGGATAGTATGACACCGTGAAAGTTGTGTATAACAATGTTTCGCAATCATCCATGTTACAAGTTATGCAACTGATTTTTTGTCCAATATCACCCAGGGATATTTTTATTAATTTTTTTTTAAAATACATTTTCTGGAACAAGTGTTGGTCAGTTGTGGTAACAGTGCAAGTAGGATAAATGTAACAATTGTGGGACAACGAATGATGTGAGACGACAACTTGGACAAGTCGCATAGGTAGAACAAGTTGAATATAATATTCAATATTTTTCTTCTTCTTCCATGATTACTTCCTCCAAACCCAAATTTAAAAAAAAATAGAAGAAAAATTTACAACCATGTATATATTTGAAAGTTTTTATTTGAGAATTGTTTTAATTTTGTGTCTGTTCTAGAAATACTGCGAATTTCATTTTTTTCATTATGTGTGAATAAAAATATTCAATATATGTACAGTGAGTTTATATTGTTAATTTGTATTGTAAAATTGTTGCTAGTAAAGTATTGCCAAATTTTCATAATCAGCAATCTTGGTACTTCAATTATTACTCACATATATTGGATCCTTACTAATACAGTTAGTGATATTCCTTTGAATTAAACGCCACAGGAGATTAATTTGTGATGACGTAATCATTTTTGACGAAATTGTACATTATAAAGATGATTTGTACCTGAGATGTCAGTTAACGGTTAAAATAAATCGTAACCGTTAACCATCTAAAATCGGTTATTCGATTAACCGGTTAACCATTCCCAGCCCCAGTTATCGTACATGAATGCATGTACGTATAATTACATGTACGTATATAATGACGTGGCCTGACGAAAACTGAAGAAGCATGTATGTACTTAGCGTTTTGTTGGTGTCACGTTTTCTACTAGATTTTGAGATTTATGACTGAACACTTATGTGGACGTATGACTGAACTGGCATACGTAAATCTATTTCACAAAAGTAAGTTGAATTTTATTTAAAATAAGGCTACTTGAAACGTTTTGACGCCCACTAAAAACAAATGAAATTGTAAATTATCGTAACATGTATTTCAATATAATTTTGAAATTATGAAAGATACAATTTGACTTTAACAAAATTATTGCAAATGCTAGCAGATTGGTTAATGACGCTACGTGATGTGAAAAAACATTTGGTCAGTTTCACATTAATACCAAGATACAAGGATTATTAAATCGATTCTACATTCCAGAGCCTTCATAGTTGTCTCTCACGTAATTTGACAAGACTTCTAATCCAGCAAGATATTCTTCTCCGTTGGGAATGATTTGATCAGCAGGAAGAATAAATCCATATCTACCGGTATCCCGTAGTTCAAAGGTGTATGACTGAACGATCCCCGCTACATCATACGACCAGTCAGTTGTGGTTCCGGAAGTAACGTCTGAATATGAGAGGTCCAAGATTAAACCATAGGTTGGACCTCGTGATGGAGCCTTCAAAGGACGAATACTTCGACACTTCGCTCTTACTTAAGTGTTTCGAGAGACTTCGATATGTATAAGATAAATCTGAAAACTCTAGAACCGATCAAAGTATTATATATCATAACAATGGTTGCCTACAGTTCTTTAATTGGCCTAGCACAGCATACGAAAAAAAATTGGGAGCATGTTATTCCATCAACCATATGACGATTCGTATGTCGGCCCACCATGCCATGTATTTTGTTTCGTGTCGTACGTGAAATATGACTATCAACGATATTTACGCAGGTTTGAGGAAACTAAGAGTCAAGGCGTCCATCAATCTCTTATTATTGTCAATTCTATATTAGAAATAAGTATTGCCATATTGGAATGTTGCTAAAATACTTACAAATAGTTGTTGAACTAGGCCCGTATGTATACGTTTTCCCGTGTACTGCTTTCATAGCGTCATGCATCAACTTACTGGTGGCGTTCTAAATATAAGACCGCCGGGGTCGTGTGAATAAAGCTACATAGTGAATACATAGCTACGAATCAAACACATTTGAAATTAGGCAACAAAGATACGGAATTCACATATTTTGCTTTATATATATCAAAAGTTATACGACAAATAAGCTCAAAATATCTGACATATTCAATTCCATAGTTACATAGAAAAGATACTTGAAGTAAAATCGAGCAAATGCATCTTACCAACACTGCATCGTCAGCACAAGGAGTACTTGTATATCCATAGGGATACAAAATCAACTGAGTATAGGAGTGTGTAGTAACATAGGCATCAATTTTTCCTTGGCCCATCACGTACTTTACGAGATGGCGAACTTCAGATTCAGATTCCGGAGTTGGTCCATAATAGGAAAATTCACATGGATTTCCGGAAGCGCCTTCATCTATAAGTATACCGTTAAAAAGTTGCACAACGACAACAGATTAAAAAACCAGTAACGTATTACTGTGTAAAAGTAAATACAATAGAGGAAAAGGCGGAGGTTGGGACACTTTTTTTTTTGCATATTTTGAGCCGTTAATTCTGCATATTCACGTAAGTTGGCGGGACTAATGCAGAGAGGGGTAAATATAGTTTTTATTCAGCGACTGAGAAATTCTCTTGTGACACACATCTTACTACCAGAATGCTTTAAAAAACGTCTGTCAAGTGTCCCACTGTACTCCACTTGGGGGGCACATTCGGTCAGACCCTGGGGCACAATGGGTCAGACTGTCAAAATTCAACGAAGTATGCCCTTAAAAATAAGCAATTAATCAGCATAATCGTCTAAAGAACAGGGAGACTTCAAATAGAATACAATATTTTCAAAATCAATGTTCAACTGAAATAGTTCAGATATTTTGACAAAAAATTGCGCAAACAAATTTGATTATATCCTTCCTCGAATCTAAATCTGGAAATATTATTGATTCTCGAATATATTCCATATTGGGCCATGGGTCGAAAGAAACCATAATCTTACACAAAATATACCGCATCTCTAGGTCTCTAAGCACTTATTGTATCAAACACTCTCGAATTGTGCCCTGTAGGGCATGTCCCACTGAACCCCGGTCCATTGTTTCCCATGGGAAACAAATATTTTCAGACCATCCCACGGTGAAAACCGGAAGGCACATCCACTCGCCAACGTTATGAATATTTTAGAGTGGACTAAAGCTGAAAAATATCAGACGGTGGTTTGTCATGATGAAAAGGCTAAAGTAGAAAAAAGAAAAAACTGAAACGGTGAAATTTTATTTTCAACCTCCCAAAATCATTTTCCCCTCATAGCTTGCGCCGCTCTACCCGTCCGTTGTCCGTTCGCGGGGACGTTGTAACTCACCGAAGGGCGTATTGAAACATCGAACCGCGGACAGGATTGCGGATATAGATTCAGTGTGAGAGCTGATTTTCCACTGTCCCCCATGTCCCAACGTGCCCCACCTTCCCCTACCTTTGATATTACCACGGTGTATCAGAAGAATTTGAAAATTTCGCAATGGCGTGCTTTTGTTACTTCTTAATACATTTCACAACTCTTAACTTCCCTTTGATCGGTTTTTTATAAATACTTTCACAGTCGATATGAAAAAGACAGCTAGAACCCGAAAAGTGATTATCTATATGCGTGGCTTTACGCTAGTCGTTGTGAATAGAAATTCCAGCGCATACATTTCTTAATTTCTGTTCAATACTGGATACTTACTTGACCAGTAGGAATCAAAGTTACGATTTGCATCAACACCCGGACAGTTACTATTTGGTCCGGTACTTCGGGTTTTCCTCCACAACCTGTCCTGTGTAATAATATTCAAGTAATACCAATAAGATATTAATTATTTGAAGTTAATAATGAAGAATACAAAAGTATAACAGTGTAAATAGCTTTTCACAATTTTCGTCCAATTCTAGGTATAGCGAGACGTTTAACACATACCCCAATCCAAGTTTCCACATAACCGTCAACATTGATCATCGGCACAAAATACCAATTAACTTCGTCCATCATGTGCGTGAATGATGGATTTTGGAGCATCTGGAAATCGCAGAGTAACAAGCATTATGTCAATTAGTTATTATGGTTGTGAAAAATTTTTTGACTCCGATTTATACTTAATTACCTCTTTAAATATAAACATTAAAGAAGCTGTTGTAATCCATTCTCTACAATGAATCAATGCGTCAACAACAATAGTTGGTTTTGACTTTGCAGAAGGCTTTTCAAATTTTAAAACATACAATGGTCGTCCTTCAAAAGTCACTCCAAATTGCTCCTTCGTTGCAAAACTGTATTCCGACGTTACTAAATCCATCCATTGATAGACCTGTGATTAATTAAACTTGAATTTATGTTGCAATAAATAAATGCAAAGCAGCTTCATTGAACTATAACGAACATAGCATTTGTTGATTGTTAGGTTGCTGAGACAACCATGGAAAGTTCATAAAAAACTCCAGTTTTTGTCAAACATAAATAAAAATGAATGGGGACAAAAAATCAAATCTCTCATTTAATTCAAACGTGGAACTACTTGACGACAACTATTTTGCATCAAATCATTAGGCTAAGAAAACGAGGTTATTGAAAAATAAAATACCTCTTTTGCAGGATGATATTGCGAATAGTCAAACGCCTGAACACTGCTAGCTAAAGCTTTTCCCAGATTTTTTCTTTTGTTATGAGACAATTTTTCATTGATAATTAGAGATTGAACGTCACTGATATAAATTTCGTAACCAGACATTCGATTGAGAGCATTCGCAAGTTCAAAAAACTGTTTTGGTTTAACGCGAAAATCAACGAAGCGACCGGGTGAAGTGGGTTCTGTCCAAAAGTCAACCTAAATACAACAAAAGTTGAAAAGTTATGTCATAAAGGCAGAACTTTGAGAAAGATTCGTGAAAGATCTTGAAATCATTTTGTTGACTATTATTACTATCCTATTACGAAAAACTTTTTTGTGAATTATGAACAAGCTTTTAAAAGATGCATATATTCCACCAATCTATGAACATTCGATTACAAAATCTGTAGAATATTTTGAAGATTATTGTATAATAGGTATTTTCTTACATGAAATTCCATTTTATTCGATGTTTTGTGGCCTGACCATCATGTTTTACTAAAACGTAGGATGCGATGAATGATTTATACTAACTTTAAATGAGATGTTTGAAGAAATGTACGAATTAATCAATAAAATATTTGGGCAAAAAGCAATTTTTGTTCATGTGGCTTCATTCATCCACTCACAGCAAAGCTTTATTATCAAACACAGAATGTGTCACAGGTTATCACCTCAAATTTTTCTTCTAATTCTCTTAGAGATTTAACTTCTTCTGGAGAATTCGGAGTCACTCTCCATACCTGCTGTCTGTAAAAAATTAATCATGGTTTTAATTATTATATTTAACCGGAATTTAAATTTATTGTTATATTTTACCTCAATTTTAGTAAAAAAAAGGAACGGAAGTTTTAGTAGTTTTGTGGTAGTTTAATCATTTTTTCTTCTATGAAGGCATTTTGATATATTAAGTTTAAAACTTACCCACTGTAATCTACTTTGTTACCAACAGCGATTTTCACAATGTATATTCCCAACAACACCAGGATGAATACTAATCTCCTCATCATTGAATAAGTGCAAATAGACAATATTGAAATACTAATCCTGTCAGAAAATGCACATTGAATTAACTTTTTGTTTTCGAGGATGTACGATTTTCTATTCAATGATGCCAGTATATAAATTTATACAAGCGCTATCAGTAATCGTGTTATCGCCATCATTATCAGCAGCATGTGATTTTCCCAGATAAGAGAATGCCAGAGAATTACTCAGTGCCAAGGATTTTTATTATAATCTTCAACCATTTCTAATATTATCTTATCAGTGCAATTAAACGTTAATTCATTTTACGTCGACGAAGACTGAATATTCCTCATAACTGAAAACTTTCCTGCGTTCCACAATTCAATGTGAGTTACTAACCCCAGTTTACTGCGAATATTTGCTTTTTCCATTTTTTCTATTTGTCTTTTAAAATTCATAGATTTGTGATACAACTACCAAGCTTGAACCACGTAGATTTGGTTTGTATTGCCATTGTTCATATATATCCACGCTTGACTTATATATGTATTCTATGAACGCCTTCAACAAAAAGATTGTTTGCTACTGACGAATTGTTCATAATGGCATTTGGTCACCTAAAAAGAGTCGCTTGTTACGCAAACAGAATCTTTTGTGATTTGTTTTATTTGAACAATGCTATAGTTTGTTCAGTTCTTTTATACATATGTCAGTGTTTAAGGAATCGTGCAGCAGTGTGGATAAGCATTATCTTTACCTTTCAGCAAGTCAAAATTGATTGTTCACCACAATGCTCATTAATTGATGACTGAAAAGCGCTATCGTGAACTGCATTTTGTGGTTACTTGTTTACGTTTCATCACCGATGAAATATTTAATTTACAGTAATAAAAGAATTTGCATTGTCTGTATGTTCATAAAAATATTAACCGTATTAGATATTTTTATTAAAAGATGCTGTCATCTCTTATATGTTTTAATAGTTATATTTCGTTGAAATGTAATCAAAGTAAATATCAATTTTTTGTGAGAGGGTTATATCATAAATATCATACAACTTAGCTGAACTAATTTGAAATAAATGTTTATAATTCAGAAATATTATATAATGTTTTCTTGCTGCATGTTGATGCATTGATCGCGATTAGTGGCATTGGAAGTTACAACCGCAATGCTAAAATGAAACAAATGATCATGTATCGACCGGAGTGAAAATCAAAAATAATGGTCTTCCATTCTATAGTGTGTGTCGCAATATTCGTTTTCAGCTCTTAAAACCCAGTTTCGCCTCGGAAACAACGTTAACCCCTTTGGTATCATTACCAGATGTTCTTGGGAAGTAAATGAATTTGATAGTTGATAGGTCATATCCAAGTTCATCTCGATTACAAATACAGATGAGGTTAGTTGAACTTGAAGCTTCCAAGAGATGGTTACGATGGGGTTTTGAATACATAAATTCTGACCTAATCCAATAGAAAATTGCTATGAAAAACACTCTACTTGATATTTGGATGTTGACTTGATTCAGAACATGATTGATTCTCACTGCCCATGTTTATTTTAAATTTTGTGCCGGAATATGTTTAATGTTGGTATGAATGTAAGATATTTGATACCTAAACTTTATTATATATCAATGAATTTCGTTGAGACGAATTGTTAAGAATTTTAATTTCAGCTGGCACAAGACGCATAAATCATCATTGTCACATCACAAGACCTGGTAAAGCTAGGGCAGTTCGGGTACCAGTACTAGTAAGTTCCGATGGTCCACAGTATCAGCTTCGCTCAGGATAAGGTTATTGGGGAAATTGTGGGTAAAATATTTTGTTTTTGCTCTCGTGATTATACGCAGGGTGTCCCAAAATAAATAAAACCCATTAAATTCGATTACCATTTATGACTAAAACAAAAGACTTAAAAATGTTAACATTTGGCCCTCTGACACATTTTTCTCTTTTTATTGCACAAATGTTCTGCGTAATGGCCAATTTCAATCCAGTACTAGTTTTGGGACTATCATAATAAACTCTACCTTTTAACAAGCCCCACAGGTAGAAATCTGGGGGACTCAAGTCAGGCGAATGTGACAACCATTCTGTATCGCGACGCCTGCTAATCAAACAATCAGAGAATCTTTGGCCAAGCGACTCTAATGTGATATTGTCTGTATGTGGAGTAGCTCCATCCTGGCACCACTGCACATTTCAATTTATTCCCTGCTGTGTTTCAAGGTCAATCTAGAACTTGTTAAGCATCACAATGTAGCGCTCGCTCTTTGGTAACAGTAAGTGCTTTTTCATTTTTATCTTCAAACCAGTAGGCTATGATGGTTCGATAATGGCGTGTTTTGGCCTGTGCATGTTGGTGCTTGTTTGCCCCAGAGTACGACATTCTTGCTATTGGCGTGCCCAGAAAGCATAAAGTGAGCCTCATCACTGAACCCGACATGTAGGAAATCTGGGTCACCTCCAATTGTGCTTTGAAACCAGTGGCACATCTCTAAACCTTTCTGCATTTCAGTTGCTGTGAGTTTGTGCTTAATCTATATTCCGTAAAGATACAGATGATGGTCTTGAGTAAGGATTCTATACAGCGAGGACCGCGGTATGCCGTGCTCACTACTACGTCTCCGAATGGACTTTTCCGGGTTCTGGCCAACAGAAACTCTGGACGATTCCGCATTATCTGCAGATCCTCCACTCAATTACCTTCCACTAGCGACTTGATGGATTCTCTGATTTCTTGCTACGTTAACAGTCCCATAGATTTGAAAGTCACTATGCCACAGGAATATATGGGTTTTTCCAGGATAAGTGTTGAAATTAAACTTCCCGTGGCAGCGTGTTTAAACAGTCCTGTAAGATCGAGTCTCTATATAAGTATTGACGCAAAATTTTTTTTTTCTAATTTCAAAGCCATGGGATTTAAATCAATAATTGTTATCTATAACTGTTATCAAATCTGAAAATTATAAACTATAGAGTTAAAATCAACATTTACAATAGCAATTTTGTGGGGTTCATTTATTTTGGGACACTCAACATTGCGCTCTTGTTTGAATTAATCATGAAACAAGAGGATCTGTAATTTCAACCAAACTTCCTCATTTTGCTTTTCAAACAACACCTGTCTTAAAAAATACTCACTTATCAAGTCATGATGTGATTATTATTAAAAACATGTTCACTTGAACACAAGAACATTTCATTTTTTTAGAAATGTACAAGATAAAAAATACCCTGTCATTTCTTTTAGCGAAATTTCTTTTCATCGGTCAATTTAGTCAATAAATATTTCGGCGTTGTACGTTAAATTCCACTACCTTATGCCATATACTGAAATTTGTTTATCTTCTTCTACTAACTCAGAGTATTTAAATGTTTTATAATTCAGATTATAGCATAGCCATAGAGCATTTACTACTTTTTAATTTTTCAAATATGAATGATTGTTTGCAGCCTTGGTTTTATAAAGAGAACAAATAAATTCATATGGAGACACTTACCTGGAGAAAGCAATCATGTTCCAAAATTTAAATTTTAGTTGTCTACGAGCTATGAGTATATTTACATTTAAATCAGACTGATCTTGATAAAGATCAATTTTCGAATTAATTTTGACATGTCTGTTGCCAAAAACTCGAAAAGAGTTAGTATAAAGTTTTCAGACACAAAGAAAACACGGAATGAGATTGAGAGTAACTAGTTCTGATATATATATACCAAATGGTACAAAAATAACGCGTTTTTCTGATTTATAAGCAACATCTTATTAAAGATCAGAGGCAAGCGTCTACTGCTGCGACGTTTACCAGCGCCTGCCAATTAAATGTTGAGGACTCCTATAGGATTTAAGCACCATGTTTCTCCGATCAAACTTGGAGAGCTTTGAGGAGAAGGATAGATTATGTTGAGAGTCCTGTCTTCTAGTCTACCATCAATTCTCGTTATTATTTGGACTGTCTGTGAATCGTGATTGAATCTGCGCAAGTCGGTGAGAAATATATCAGTCAACAAAACTGGAGATTTTATATAAATTGCGTTATGTAATTTATAAGTCATAACGTCTCATTGTGTGAAATTCTATGTCTACATTAGAATATTTTTTCAAGTTCAAAGGTATAGATGAGACGATTCCATATCCTTCTTTCCTTCCGCTTCATCCTTTTTTCCTTTTCAATTTCACTTATGTTTATTTTAAACCATGTTTCTTTTCATTTTCATCTCCCATTCACACCTGGTGCCTACTTCTTCACTCATTGATAACATAACCTCATTCCGGAAATTTCCGCTTTCGAGGGACTAGCATACACGTACGAGAAAATCAAATAAAATTCCTATTTTTTAGGAGCTTTTCTTATAAAGCGAATTTAAATGGCACGAGATCCTTTGGTTTAAGTAAAATAGTTGATACATGTCGCCTAATCAATATTTTTTATTTCAAGTTTTGAACCAATTCACGACACCTAGATTTTTAAATGAGAATGTATATTACAACCAAAAACAATATAATTAAATATTAAGTATGAGAGAAGTGTGATTGCGGAATGCGCAGAATTTCGTGTGACTTATAATACAGATTTTCGTCGATTTGAAACAAAATTGTCATTCTGTTGACAATAGGTACCCTGCTGTCAAATTATGGCACATCAGCTATTCTTATCTGATTGCCAGTACATGATTATCTTCACAATGGCATATCAAAAAGTTTTCGCTTCGCCAGTTAGACTTATCCAATTTCTCAAGGTTAAAAATGTTAAATATATTTATGCATTCAGTTTTCCTAATTTGAATTACAACCATATGTGATGTAATTTTTAAATTTAAATCTCACTATGAAATGACTAGCACTTTGAACGATGGATGAAAGCTATTCAAAACTTCAAGAGAATTGTAGTTAAGAATTTCGTTGAAATCTAATATATATTTTTTATCGAAAAGGAATGAACAAAATATGGTCGTCTGCAGTTTCAATTAGAATTTATAATTTGTCATACATGAATTATAGAACCAAAATTTATTTGCTCTCTAAAATCCAGAACCTTCGTAGTCGTCTCTTACGAAATTGGATAAGACCTCTAATCCAGCAAGATATTCCTCTCCATTTGGAATTATTTGATCGGGAGGAAGAAGGAATCCATATCTTCCCTCATCTCGAAGCTCGAATGTATAAGAGTGAACGATCCCCATTTCCTCGTAAGTCCAATCCGCTGTGTCTCCAGAGCTGACGTCTGAAATGAAATATTTTGATATCAGTTGTAAGCCAAACAATAGGAGTATAATTCATTTTACTGTTTATTTCTATTCTGGATTTCTAGATGTTTGTTTTCGAACTGTTTTCCATAACGATGCCCCAAATTGACGAAGGCAAACAAATAAAAGAACACTTTCACTCCACTGTAAAAATTTGAGAACTGTCATTTGTATTAATTAAATCTTTCTTACAAAAAAATCTCTTTTTAGTTGATTTGAAAGTTGCATCACAAAAAAATGTTTATCAAAGACGAAGGTTCGAATAGAGATTCTTATATGAATCAATGGTGAAAGTGATTGGACGAAAATTTTACTAGACAATTTCCTACAATATCAGAGACACCGCGAAAAGATTTTTATGTATAAAAAACCAACACGCAGAACCACCATAGGCTAACTGTAAATCGTTATCTTATAAAACATAGCTTACTTTCTGATTTAGACGATAATATTTTCAATTTTGTACTCACAAATAGTAATTGCGCTTGGTCCATATGTATAATACTTTCCATGTACGGCTTTTATAGCGTCGTGCATGAGCTTGCTGGTTGCGTTCTGTATCAGAGATACTCGATTAGAAAAATATTGAATTGGAAAACATAACAATTGCCAATCGTTCATTGGTTCAAAATATAAATTGGCTTGCATTTTTGGAAGCGATTCATGCAACTCCAGTCGAGTTCCTATATTTCTATTTACGGAGCAAAATTTAACAACAAAAATTAGTCTAATAATCTGATTTAACCCACTTAATGACGTGATTTGTGATACCGGTTTAGGTTACTTATAATTTGCAATTATAGATGTATTGAGCAAACTAGACTTGATATTGTGCAATATTGTGAGTAGAACCGGATTATGGAATAAGTATAAAATACTGTATCCTATTCAGAGCATCATTCAAAATCATCAATATTGTGGTTGTTGAACAGATCACACACGATGCTAAATATGATAAACACTGTTGAATTTATTAAAATATTCCCAACTTCCAAATTACTTTCTTGTTCTCGAAATAAATGATTTTAGATCGGTTCGTGCCAGACTTTATAAAATGAGTACGATCACAAGCGCATTTCAATTGCCCGCGCTATATATAAATTATCTAAAACTAAATGTCATTTTGTCTGGTACATTACGCTAATTAAACCAATGCTCGTTTAGGCATATATATGAAAACTGTTTTCAATTTGTCTTACCAACTCTTCATTTTCAGGAGGAAGCTCTTCCGTCCAACCATAAGCGTATAAAATCAATTGAGTATATGAGTGTGTGGTAACATAAGCCCCAATATTTCCCTTTCCCACTCCCATAATATAATTTTGAAGATGACGAATTTCTGACTCTGATGCAGGCATTGGGCCATAGTAGGTGTAAGAGCATGGAATACCAGATGCTCCAGGATCTAAATATAGTAAAAATCACATACAGTTTCTAAAAGATTTCGTGATTCCGGTGACCAAGTGGTTGATGTATTGAACTGAACTACGTTGGTACTATAGAACAAAAATCGAAAATCTAACCCAGTACCCGCCACCTCGCGCGGGTATATAATTAAATTGATAGACAATGGCAACCCCTAAAAAATTGCGTTCTTCCAATATGTAGTAACATATCAGTAACAGCTTGTACGTAGACGGTGTCGAACCATAAAGATTGCAATATATAATAATTTTTTTCAAATACAGATCCTCCTTTAAATTTAAAAGCATGTAAAAATGTCGTATAAAAAGTGCTTCAAAATGAACCCGGTTGTCACGGATATGTGTCAGGTACTCACACGACCAATGGTTGTCCCAGTTACGGTTTCCATCAACACCAGTGCAGAGACTGCCTGGTCCGGTACTGCGTGTTTTTCTCCATAGCCTGTCCTAAAATTTAAAAAATAACAATAGATGAGAATAGCGAATTGTGTTAGAATGAGAAAAACAATGAAGGAGAACACTTACTCCAAGCCAAGTTTCCACATATCCATCAATGTTAATCATTGGCACAAAATACCAGTCTACTTCATCTATCATGTGAGTGTATTTGGGGTTTCTCAGCATCTAAAATCCATATTTGTGAGACATTAAAATTATTCGACGGAAAGACAAATACATAAAAATAAATTTAGCATTAAGTAGTTTTCACACTTGTTTGGTGCCAATGTATACATTATACGCATGTATATCGCCCCCAAAGTAGGTTTATTCCTTTATCCAGAGAGCTACAAGTTTTCCATCCAATTAACGAGATTTTGTGATCACGACATGTCCAGGTAATCTGATGTTATATTCAATAACGGCAATTTGTATCGAGCATCTCATCGAACAGCAAAATTTTTTTATGTCGAAAGTAATAATTAGTTCGAAATAGAGTGCATCGTTTATCCATAAATTACCTCTTTAAAAATAAACAACAAAGATGCCGTTGAAATCCATTCTCTGCAATGAATTAAAGCATCCACAAATATGGTTGGCTTGGGATTACCACTGGAAGATGGTTTATGGAATTTCAGAACGTACAGTGGTCGGCCCTGATAGGTGACTCCAAACTGTTCTTTTGATACAAAGCTTCCGTATTCTGCCACTACCAAGTCCATCCATTCGTAAACCTGAAATCATTTAACAATCTTTTAAAAAACAACTCATCAAATTGTGACAGATGATTATTATTTTGTCAAATTTTGCCGTTTTACTTTAGTTAAATATAATACAATGGGGCGATGCCCAATATGACACAAATATGACACAATGATTAAGTACTAGTCTTCGACTTTGCCTGACTACAAGATCTGCCACAGGGTGCGCAATTTTGATGACATCATCACACAGAAAAAAAAAACTTATTTCATAGAGCCCGCAAAATTTTTAGAAAAATAAATATGCCTCCTAGCGAAAATCACAATCTTTGACCACTGAATTGTTGTAAACCATTAATCTAGTAGTCAGGCGATTTTTTGCATAACAACAAGAAAAGGAATTTTAACAACAATAACATAATAATAATATTAATAAAATATCCATGTTTAGATTTCGTAGCCAACAAACAATATGTATATTGCAAAACCGCTCTAATATGAAGGTTAAACAATCGTGAGCACGATTTATCTGTTTCTAAATTTCAATCGACTTGAAGGAACAACGTTGCTCCTCAGTGCAATGCTGAATATTGCGTGAGACATCGCATAAAATCGAAACATTCTTTGGTCATTAAATATTCAACAACAGCCACATAAAATCATACTACGGGCAACTGCACACTCACACGGTTGCGAGATCGAATGTTCAATATGCAAAATGGTTAATGTTGGAAGATGAAATATTTATTTACACGTGGACAAAACGATACCCATGATTATTATCAAGGTGTATTCTTCTTTTTGAAAAAAAAATTAGAACAATTAGTTTTTTAAAAGACAGTCTGACTTTCTTTAAGCAGTTTTATATATATTTTATAGATTATTATCTGCATATCCCTTCCTGGTCAAATTTACAAGCGTCCACGTTATGACGAAATCATTGTTTAAAACACGTCACAGTATTATATGTAATGAATTGGGATAAAATTGTAAAATATAATTTTAATTTTTCTCTTTTTACCTCTTCTGCTGGGTGATACTGGGAATATACAAATGTATCCAAGCTACTAGCTACGGCTTTTTCAGTTGCTGTCCATGCTTTTCGAGATGATTTTTGTTCATTGATTAAATCTTGGATATCAGATATATAAACCGTGTAATCAAATATTCCATTCATTTCGAGATGATCTTGAATTTCCAGAGCAAATTTCGGTTCGATTCTAAAATCGACAGGACGTCCAGTCGCAACTGGATCCGACCAAAAGTCAAGCTATAAAATCGGGAAAAATTTAAATAGAAATTGGCATTCTGAAACGAAAAGTTGAATACTCTAAATTGTTTTGAAATAATATTTTACAGTCAATCAGTTTATTTTTACTGTATTCTATTTACTTCTATATTTTTGTATATCATACGACTATGTGTGTACTATTTACTGTAACAAACAACATTTTTTAGGTGCTCTGTATCTAAAGTGCGACTTGAAGATGTAGAGGTCTTGTTGCTGGAGCAAACAAGTTCAGATGACAGTTACCAGTTAAGGTAGGTAATGGAAACTTCAAATCAAGATGAATCGTCGGCGATTGGCGTAAGAAGCCATACTATGCTAAGCCAGTGCGCACTTACCTCAAACGCATCTTCCATATCTCTTAGAATTGCTAATACTTCTTTCGATTTCGGAATAACTCGCCAGACTTGATGCCTATAAAATGTGAGTCATAGTGATATAAAAGTTAGAAATACCTTGAGAATAACACAGTAATTACGGACGCGAGCCAGTTGTCATACGGATTTAATTGTGGGTACTCCTAAAGTATGGGCTCCAAGATGTCGCATAACCTGAACCCGAACCTGGTACACAACCTCAGTTCTGGTTGTGCGCCATCTTGGTGCGCATACTTCAGTAATTGTGTTTAATTTGAGAGAGAAAAAACTTACCCTTTGTAGTTAACATGTTCCGTACTTGAAATATCCACACTATATACTCCCAGCAGGAGCAAAAAAATATTTAAGTATTTCATCATTGGAGGAAAACCGTGTATCTCTCGCCAAAGTTTAGTACAACTCAAACACGTTAATTGTAAAGCTGAGTTATATTCTACGAAAAATAGACTGAGAATCTTATTTTGATTGCTAAATAGATGAATAACGCAGCCAACGCCCGTCGCACTTGTATGCCAAAAGGCCAGTCATTGCCATTACAGGACCATCTGACAGATTTCTTTAATTTACAAATGACTATTATCTTTGCATATATCGAAGACATTGTTATTTTTTAATCGAAGAATTACGTTAAATAAATTACGGTCTCCATTTTCTATATTTCCCCATTATATCAAAGGTTCAAACTTTTGATAATACAGTTATACGAAAATTCACATCGATTCGGATATGTTTGCTGCGTCGACTCCGGATTCTCAACGAATGTCCTTCGCACCGTCATTGTTTTCTGACAATCAAGCATTCGGGCGAGGCTGACGAAAAGTTTGCAATACAAGAATTTGTTCTGTGTTGCAACCACATAGTCGTACATGAATCAAAGATAAAAAAGTATATTTATTCACGTTCAATTGCAATCCATACATGACCAAGTAAGCTTACATAAAACTGGATGCAACATTGATTAATTACGGACAGGTTATTGTCTCTCGTAAACGCAGAATCAAGAATTTTTTTCTACGATGTTAACAAATATTTGTTTTGTGTCATGTACAGTAGATAAATATATGAACATCGTAATTCATGCGACAGAATTACAGGGATGATAAACATTATGTTATATTTACAAAGGCATATAACAACCAATATCTATTTTTTTCATCTTATATCGTCTTTGCTCCGATGTAATGTCTGAATTACAAGGACCCCTTATTCGCAAAGGTAATATTAATCGCAACAATTTATAATGCGTCGCCATTATCATCTGATTTATTATACAGAGCGTTTAACAAATTGTCCAAATTAATTGAATAAAACTTGTTTAAAGGGATTTTTCTGAATAAGTTAAAGCTTTTAAGATGTTTCAACAATCATGAAAAGTGTGATCTTGTTTGACAGCTTTTTACTCTAAAAATTAGGTGTTTTTTCCGATTTTTCATTCAATGGCACTTAGGTTTATTTATTTCTCTTATATTTTCATCAAATGTAATATGCAAAGCTGGCAACTATGGCAATTTCAACGACAAAACGATCTTCGATCTATGTAATCGATCTAGCAATCGACAAGGCAAATATTTTTAATATATATTTCTAATCATAAAAATATTTCACTACCACGATCACTATTTTAAAATTACGTTATTTGCCTATATTTAATTTTATCGCAATATGATTTTATATGAATTGTATGACACCAACACGTTTTACAACAAACTCTTAATTTCAAAAATATTTTTTTTATTTTGGAAAATTATTTTTGTTTTTAAAACATTTTTATTCGCCAAGCTTAATTTATACATGCATAATAGTTTTTTAGTGCATTTAAATAGAATATGCATACATTTTCAATAATTTGGAATATATTCAATTTAATTCTTCAAGATTACTTTTACATGGGTTTTGTACAAAATCAATTACTGGTTGATTACAGGGCGAGTCTTAAAAATGATCAACTAGGTCAAGTCGAATCCCATATTCGTCAATGCAAGCACCATGGTCTTGCAGATCTGCCATTTGTGACCGAAAATAGGTACGGTTAAATTGTTTTGTTTTTGCCATCTTTGTTACTTCGATAAGCCAGTCAATTACGGTACTGGGAAGGGTGCACTCATCATTTTTGACGATTTTCCCGAAAGAGGTAAGCCCGCCATCTCGCGGATAATCATAGACAAACGCTATTCTTCCCGTTCAAATTGTTTAATTACCATATTGCGGACCATCGAAATGAATTTGAAAATAGAATTTGATCCTTGTCTCAAAGAAGTCGTGTCCCAACTATACGATATTTCTTATTTTGAAACATCCTTGTTCCACACTTGTCTGTTCTAAGTTAGGATAGATCAGGGTGTTAAAAATATACCGCAAAATGTTTTTATTAAAAAGTAACTCAAAATTTTATCTTTAATGGTTTTATTCATTTTAAAAAATTACATTGAACTGATTTTATATATGGTTTAAATAATTCTCTTGTGTGTTTCATAATCTCTCGCCCTGGAGTAGTATTTTCGCACCAAATCAATCCTATCTCTGATAAGCACTGGAAGACTTCAAAATGAATGAAACGCGTACGATAACTATGGTAATCAGGATTTAAAGAGAAGATTCTGAAACTAAGTGTTTGAAAGTCGTGTATAATGAATTAGTTTTTTTTATTTTATCTGGAGTTAAACTGAAATCGCTATCTGTGACGTGATTTGTTGCAATGGCGAAAAATTTTGCTTACATTTTAACACCCTGTATAATGTGAAGCAAAAAGTAAACATATGAAGTTGAATTCAAGCTATGTTCTGCGTTAGAACAGATATAAAACTTTCCCCAATGTCAGTCATATTCAAGGGTACTAATAGAAAGTGAGATTCATAATATGTGGGCAAGTGGACGTAAAACAAGATCTGTAAGTAATGCTTCAGCTGGTTTGCATTGTAATATCAATCCCAGAGAAACTCTCTGAACTACTTCAGTTACCAAATCAACATAAAATGTCACCGATCATGAGAAGGCAATTTTCCCTGATTTTATAGTCTTGTGATCGGCTATGCAGCTTCAGAAACGTAGTTCTCGCGAGAATATCGTAATGTAATACAGATAATCTCTCGTTGCTCTTCAGTACATCATCTTTGACCGTGTGTAAGGTAACATTTGGAAATGTTCATACACAACCCATATAATGGATGGGCTGATGTTTATTACTCACTACCCCCAGATGAAATTATTGACGAAAATCGTAACATTGTTATTTTTATACTATTTTAATCAATGTATTTCTGATGTATTTATATCACAGACCTTCATATTACCCACAAGCATATAACATAACTATTTGCACCAACTATATATTATGCATAAATTATAGAAAAATATTTCTATCCACTTGAAAAACTAACAGCAAAAAAATCGACATAGTAAATAATTTTCTAACACCGTTGCACAGTTGGACTTATATGTAAGTAATATTTAATTTAATATAAAATGACTCAATATTGACTATTGTTGATTTTTATCGAGCAAAATGAGTTGGGAGTCTCGCTCTCACAAAATCACCTAGAAAATAATATATTCCAGCTTCGTAAATTGTTTTTGATATCAAAAATTAAAAAATGGATTTTTTTTTAAAAACTGATTTATTCTAACTGCGATAGTTTTTCGGATATATATATTTAATTAATTAACCATAGTTAATTCAGCGTGGTATAAGCGTTTACGGTATATTTTCATTTGACTGACATGCTCAGATGGTTGATGGAGACTCATCAAATCGTAATTGTTCACATTAAAATAGCGAATATTATTAATGATTCAGAAATAAACCAATCAGAAATAAACAATTCCCCCAAAATCATATGCTGTGACTTACCAGTATCTGTATCGGGGGCCGGGGTACCGAGACGGTACAGGGACTGTCATAGATATTTTAGGTCATGTGACAATGATTCATTCTTCTTGATTATTTGAAACATCAATTGAAATATCTCGTGATATGAGTCAACTATGTAGCGTATTAACGGATCAGGTACCGAACCACAGTCAAACATTTCACATAAAAACGTTACAAAATAACATGCGTCAACTTAACACCACCTGCATCGAGCTACAAATTTTGGTACAGTGACTGTCATGGCCGTTTAAGGCTGATGAACAATTCGACTACGCGGACAACAGGTATCTGTAGTCGAGTTGTCTCATGTGAGTTGTCCGTGTGTAGTCGAGTTGTCTGCCTCCCATTTCACATGTCCCGTGACAATGATCTACTCTTCTCGATTCAATTGCAACATGAATTGGAATACTAAGTAATTCGTTTCATTCCCTTCTCTATTATTGGAACACAATTTAAAAAACAAGAGAGCAATGCTCAAATATATGGCCACGCAGAACAATTTCCCAAAAATCATATGCGATGACTTACCAGTACCTGTATAAACAAGAGAGCTACGCACAAATATATGGACACGTTAGACCAGAGCGAATCAGTCCTTACCGGTACCTTTGACGCTACCGGTACCCTCAAAAAAGTTCTGAATTTCTAGTAGCAAGAATTTTGCAGAATCAAAACGTACAGCCAGTCATGACACTGACTAAAATCCGTGTTCCCATGGATAAAAAATAATACAGCAAAATTTTAGACGAAATATCAAATTTCATAGAATTCACGCAAAATTTTGAAATAAATAAAAGTAATAGCCTTCTAGCGAAAAAATTAATCTTTAACCACTGAAAATTTCAAAGCAATTGGTCCAGTATTCGAAGAGAAAAGCGACTTTTTAAAAACGTGTCAAAGAACAAGAACAACAACAACATAATATTGAAACGATCTTTATGGCCACTAAACGTGTCCAATAAAGCAAGCAGCTACGAGTTAGTTCAGTGTCACCGCGCTGTGTTACGGTACCAGAACTTCTCTATCTGGGCTTCTAATTGCATTTCAAGATTTCTGACCGTCATATATTTTAAGAACACGGTTATTTCGAACAAAACTCGTCAAATTATAAACAAAGCACCACATCACAGCAATCAAACAGACAAAAATACAGTGGTCGCAAAATGGTTAGCACCACATCACAGCAATCAAACAGACAAAAACACGATGGTCGCAAATTGGTTGACAAAGATAATATCGACGTATTGGAAATGCGCACCCCCTTATTCCCCCTCCTACCTGTAATGCCGAACGCTTCTTCTTTGCAAAACCAACTTATTCGATTTATCACGGTGTTATAACAGCAGATACCACAGTCTACAAATATATTCACACCAAGAGAAGCATTTCGACCACAGTCTATAAATATATTCACACCGAGCGAAGCAGTACAGGACCGGTACGGTTTACCGTACCTTTAGACCACAGTCTACAAAGATATTCACACCAAGCGAAGCGGTGAAGTACGGTATACCGTGCCTATAGACCACAGTCTACAAATATATTCACACCAAGCGAAGCAGTACAGTACGGTCTACCCAAAGTGACTATAAACCAAGTGAGGACAACCATTGGTAACGTAAT